AACAGCTCTTAAATATAATTAATAAACACCGTAAATGTAAACAATACATAATCTTTTCCGATTCTCTTTCGTGCCTTCAGGCTATTAAAAATCCTTATGTAAACATCCACTTTTAATTGAAATTATTGAATTGTATAATGATTTTGCAACTGGCCAATGCGACATTGTCTTTTGGCCGATTTTGCTGCTAAGGCAGCACTCAACAAATCTGTGACACCACTTCTTATTCCATACTCCGATTGCAACGCAACCATTCGATTATACATTCGTGATCTAATGTAGAAGTGGGACACCCAAGTAGGCTTAAATAAGTTACATAAAATTAAGCCAACTATCGGTCATACTTACTTGGGTTGTCAGTCCAGATTTGAAGAGGTCATCATGCGACGATGTCGCATTGGCCACTCAAGATACACCCACGAATATTTGCTAAAAGGTGAGGATCCTCCGTTTTGCATTCCTTGTGATGAGAGAATCACGGTCAAGCATGTCCTGCTTGACTGCATTGATTTTTCCATCACAAGGGATAAATATTTCAATGTTAAAACTGTGAAGGATCTTTTTAGTAAAATTAACTATCATTTAATCATTGAGTTTTTAAAAGAAATAGAATTGATTGATAAATTTTGATTGATATGTTTTGTGAATATATAAATGATATTTTATAATCGGTAGAATATATTAGCAGCTAAGATAGTTAGTGGCTTTATCCTCGAAGGGGGTTAAAGTACTGTAAAATCATTGTCCTCCTGAGAGGGGACGTAAGTACCAAAACTTCCCAAGTCAATTTAGTTCTACACACCTTTTTAATCGTAGAATATTTGTTGTTTTATTATGGCTAAATATCAGTACAGTCGCCAGTGGCTGACGGCATGGTATAAATACAGCTAGGGTCCATGCAGGTTCCCAAAATACTGTAAGTCCCCATGGTCCCTAGAGTGGTGATCTGCCTTCAGTTGTTGGCGATCCTCAGCCTTATTTTATATTGTATTGTCCTAATTTGAAATCCTTTTTTACAGATATACGCTAGTTTTATTTCCTATTGCTGGGATATGCTAGTTGGTTTTACCGTCCTTCGTCGACAGATTTTTGCGCATTTGTCATGAATTTCTAACTGTCTTAAGTCACGATATGGCTGAAATACTGCCGCTGTGACTATAAACTTTAAACTCACTCACTCAATCGCTTTACAAATAGCAAAGGGATTGAATTTCAAAGGAAGGTCATTTCTGGATTCAACTACTGAAAACCATGCCCAAGAATTTGAATATTGTTGAGTAGAGACATCTTCATCAGAAGAGAAATTCACAGCTTCCAACCGTCTTTTCGTTTCATAACGGTTTAAACCAGAATGATTATGTGCCATGGTTATATCTCTGCGAGTCGACAACCCTGCTCCCCGACCACCACGGAGTGTCAGTAGAGACAGAGTTGCAATGCACCGGACATCGACGATACCAACACTAGGGATACAGGATTGTTATACTCCGGCAAGCATGACACAAATAGCAATATTTGTACAATAATTCCAGTGTCTGACTGGGTTTGCCAGATGACTTGAAATCAGATACATATTGAATTTGGAGGTCAACGTCACCCGATTGTCCATTGAGCTACTGCCTTGTGGCATAGGACTCCAGACAAATGTATAGTACAAAATGTCCATTAGTTATTATTCTTTCTTCATTCAATTGTACAAAAAATTGAAACATGAATGTATTACGTGCACAGGGCATGTCGTGGTCAGACGATGGAGAGAACCGGGCGGTGAGGTGAAGTAAGGGTTATATAAGGATGTTATAATGATGTTATATAGATGATACAATGACGTTTTCATAAATTATATCTACCATGAAGGCGTCTTCTAAAATTGGGCTTTCATCCCAACGTAATCCAACGTCAGGCGTCTTGCCATATATTCGTAAGTGCACAAAGTAATAGTTTTTGTCTCGGACATATTCCTTGAACCCATAGATATAACCATAGTGAAATGGGTCAAGTTAAACATTCTTGCAATATTTTTTGCTCAGAAATCTATAGGCAGAAGAGCTAGGTGTGAAAAAACAATCTCAAAATTAAACCATTGTTAAAATCTTATCCAACTCAATATGATTGGTAACAGCAATACGTTTGGCAAAGCTTCAACAGTAACTGATGGTCAAACATACCAAAAATACGTGTACTATGTTTTTCACACGTTCGCCTCTGTGGTGTTGTGGTTAGAGCCTCCGCCCGGAGAGCGGAAGGTCGCGGGTTCGATCCCAGGCTGCACCATGCCACAAGACGTTAAATATGGTACTTGTTGATCCCTGCCTGGCGCTCGGCATTAAGGGGTACAACAAGGACTGGTCGGCTCTGAGTCAGTATACTGAGTGGGGTGTTCATGCTTAACTGCGGCATGGTATTTTACTGAGCTAGCAGTATACAACCAGTTAAAGTCTGGGCAAGTACAAGTCATATGAGCGAAATATTCTTAAGTACGACGTTAAACCCCATTTCACCTGATCTGTTTTTCACACAACATCAGTTGTTATTGAGGCGCATGCTTGCCTTTATCAATAAGTACATTTTTCAGAATGTATAAATATCATGTAAGCAGTGATGTGGAATTTAATACAGTCAGATACTTTTGAAGTCATGAGTAATCTAGAATCTTCTACAACATCTGGAATTCAACATGATATGGAACTTTCCACATTAATGTGCAAAGACTTTCCCCTTTAAACTCATATCACATCAAAGCGAGCATCTTTCTCAAGAGTCACCAGATGGAATTGTAATATCAATAACTTTATTGCTATTACCGCTGCCATTGTATTTTGTCTTAATTGTAATTATACGCCTACTGAATTTCGAGTTGCATGCCTGTTTCGTATCGTATCACATCTAAATAAGGGGAAGATTACTTGTCTGACAGTAGATCATAGCGAAAAAAGATATTGCCATTAAAATCCCTGGGATAGGTCTTGGACTCTTTAATAAAAATCATCCGGGTTAAAATTTGTCGTCAGCACCGAATGCTTGTCGTAAGTGGCGACTAACGGGAGTGGGTGGCTAGGCTCGCTGACTTGGTTGACACATGTCATTGTATCCCAGTTGCGTACACCGATGCTCATGCTCTTGACCACTGGATTGTCTGGTCCAGACTCGATTATTTACAGACCACTGCTATATTGCTGGAATCTTGCTGAGTGGGCCGTTAAACAACAACCATTCAATCTTTAACAAAAGTCAGTCGTGGCTTCACATTTGCGTCTGCACTTTATAGAAACAAATAAATATAACAGAAACAATCAATTACACATTGTTAGACAATAGGTTTCACTGACACATAACACTGTATACATATGTGTCAATAATGAATGCATTTATATCTGGTTTGAACGAAGGACAACATCAGCATTTATTACTATTAAACAATGAAACAATAAATACACATGTGCAAGAGATCTGTTCGACAAGCATCAACAGAAATTGTAGCTAAATCATTGCTAGCGGTTGTCAACACACAATTAGAGGGAATAACAATTAGAAACTTAACATGGACACACCAATATTGCTCCTTCCAACGGCTAATGTTTCGAAAGCTATCTGATAAATATTTCGCACAAACCAACGTGGGTAGGCCCGTAGTTGCTTAGCACTGACTTGACGGACACAGCAACGCAGCCTTGAAATTAAGTCAGTGACTCAGTTTTACGCTCCTTTTTCCAATTTAGCAATACCAAAATGTGGGGAATCGGGACTGGAATTCGGCATGAGGCACAAACGCTTTAAACAAAGATGTACTATTAACTTTCCCTCTGAAACTGATTAACATCGGCACGACAAATGAATTGTGAAATATGTGATGAGTGATTTGGATTTTAGGCCGCTTTTTAGCAAGTACCCATGTAGGGAATCGAACCCGGGTCTTCGGCGTGATTAGCGAGCGCTTTAACCACTAGGCTACCCCACAGCCCCGAAATATGGGAAGAATGTCGATAAGTAGCATACTATGTTCTTCTTTTAAACACCGCAATTCACTGTGGAGAGTTATGCTCCTTATCTGGTACTTATGCTGTTGCTGGTCGTGATCTAAGATTAAGCTAGTTTGTGATCCGTGGTACAGTAACAATTCTGCATACTACTGAAAGATTTCTATCCGGGTCCATCTGTAGACTGAGAACAAAATACCCCACAGATGCTTTCATCTGGATTCGAGCTTGAGCTTCCTTAGTTTCAAACGGAATGAAATCTGACGGAACCAAATCAGTAGCATAAGAAGGGTAATGATAGAGTTTGGTTTGTTCACTGATTCATTGTGATGATGGTGTGGAGGGCACACTTTCTTCCAACTTCCCACGACTCTCAGATTCAATGTATCTCCCGATACTTGTATGTTTGTAGATATATTGCAAACAGATGATCTGCTCCAGATTCTATATTACTTAGCTGACTGAGGAAAGCCATAAAGTCCGTCATAAATTTGTTTCCATGCAGGAAGCAAATGTGCTGTAAGTCCCCTTGGTCTCTTGAATAGTGATCTACCTTTGGTTGTTGGCAATCTATAGTCTATATGTTTTCATAGTGTACTGTTCACTTTAATGTTATCGTTTTATGATAACATGTTAGTTTTACTTTAATATCTGTGATACACTAGTAGTTTTACTGTTCTTCGTCAACAGGTTTGAATTCTTATATTATTGATCTATGATTTAATAACTAATTGTTCTCATCACGACATGGCTGAAATATTACCAATGTAACGATAAACATTAACTCACTCACTAATAAATGTGTTACAAAAACATTAAAACATATTATTATATTGACTTTAAGCACATATTTAGGTAAATAGTTACGTTATTACAACAACAGTCAATGCCACATGAGTCTATATACCTACAATATACATTGACTACATCAAAAAGCAAACTTTTGAAGTGGAAATTACACTTGAGACATTCCCTCAGACAGTCAGGAGGACATGGAATGTCTACCTCCTGGCTCAGTCCTTCCTATACACAAAACACCAGCAGGGACATCAGAGCCAGCACCAAGAACACCATGAACAAAACGCATTTTGTTCGGCGGTCATTTGAGGCAGACTTCGAATATGGGCGTTCAATGCTGTTCGTGGTTACTTCGTCATTCATTGGCTGTACACCTGTCTCGGACTTAAACAGAAGGCTGTTACTGCGAACATTGAGGCTGGCCATAGTGGTAATGATAGCCAGGCAACTCTGGCAGATGACAAGGGTCAGGTACACTGAGAGCCGACACACGTCTCCGGACTTGGGGATTGAGTCATTGACGAAGTTCATGAACACTGCATATGACACAAATATGGAGATGAGGTAGGACATCTTCTCTCCGGAGTCAGCTGGTAGGAGGAACACACAGGCGTTGAGCAGAGAGAGAAGAGTCATGGGAAAGATTATACTCACAATATAGAACATGCTCTTGCGTTTCAAACAAAAATCAAATTTCACCAAATTTTGGGTCCGTCCCATCTTTACATCTACAACGTAGACATATAGGTCAACCAACTTCCATTCATTGTTCTCTATGAAGAATGTCGGTACACTCCCTATAATTGAGCCAGCCCTATCAACTCCAAGATAAAAATTACCCGACGGCATTAACATCATGCTGCATTGTTGCTCATCAAAGGGGTACATGGTGATGTCTATCTGACAACTGGTCTTGAAACTGTCAGTAATAAGAACTGATTCCTCGCCGTTGTTTTGAATCAGTAAAGATTTTACTGAATCCAGTCTAACCTCGTCGATACCATTAGGGATGACAACAGAAGGTACCCACACGTAATCTGCAGAGATGGTCACGTTTTCAATATCATCATATTCAGTTTTGTTCCAAGCCAGGGTTTGGTCGAGCCATTTCATGTTGACACCAGCACTAAAAGTGAAAGTCTGTTCGGCTGCATTGAGACTGGAGATGGACATTGGCAGTATACTAATGTTCACCTGTTTGCCATCAGTGAGGGCCAGAGCAATACCAGCAGATGAGTTTTCCCCTTTGATATATGATAAGAGTCTTCTTAATGTTGACTGCGTTGTATTGTTCGTCTTGGCGCTTGATAAGATGACGAGTGAAAGTAGTGCTAACGCCGACATGAAATACATGATGTCACTGTACAGTGGTGATGCGTAGAATGGTTTGCATTGATGTGTATGTGTTGTTACAGTTCGGCTGTTGCTTAGGTTACCGAACGACATCTATTTGGACCATACACTTACCCCTATGCTGGAATATCAAATCACACAGAAGCATTAAACAAGAAATAATAGGTAAGTGCTTCACAAACAGATCTATACTTGTGCTCTTCCTGTGAAACTGCCTGCCTCCACCTTCTGCAAGCATGGGGCTATCACTTTACATTGAATCACTCAGTTATGCAATAATAATCAAAATGGTTATGCCATGGGAACAATCTCACGCTATTAATATTGCTGTTGTAGTTGACATGGTCAATAGATTATTTGCTCACACGTCATAGGTGGTGTTTGCCTCAGCATTTCCTGCACATGAGTTGTTTCCAGCATTTCCTGCGCAAGAGTTGTTTCCAGCACGGAAATGTATTGTATATTCAATGTCTTTGCTAAAACATTTTGAAATGAGAACTGTCATATTTTAACTTTTGTAAATGAACATTAATGTTTGTTTCTGCTATTGTATATTGATTGAGATAATGTGGCACCGGTAGAGAATATATATTCTCTTTACTTCGACAACAGTATGTGCACGAAACATTTATCTGTTAAGTTTTAAAGGTATAAGAATCGTTCCACAATGGCTCAAAAGTGTGTATCTAATAAATACATGTTTATCAAAGATGGCAGTTGGTTAGTTTGTTGGTTGTCTTCCTGTTTGACACCGCAATCAGTAACATTCCAGCTATATGGCTGTCAGTAAATAATAGAGTTTGGACCAGATCAACAGCATGAGCATCGATGACATGTGTCAAACAATTCAGCAAGTCTGACCAACCGATCCCATTAGTTACTGAAGACCAATTCTAACCCGGATCTTCATTTGTAGATAAAGTACGAGCACAATGATCTCCATAGCTCAAGTCTCGTCAACTAGTTGCTACCAATTCACTTAAAAAACAGCCATTACAACCACGTCTTTGACACCAACCCGGATCTTCACGGTTAAGTAGAAGTAATGTACTTATGTTAAGGAAGTAATATGGAGTCCACGTAATAATATATCCTGTTTTGAAATATGTATTTTATATATCATCCAACGACCTTATCTATTATCGCCCTTAACTGATACCATTATGAATTGAAGTCTTCATACAAAATGTAATGCATTGCGAACAGAAATACCAGTAACTGATGAATTTGGCTCACTCCTTTTAGACAGGCATGTAGACCTAAGGACATTAAACATCCTATGTTTGCCTTTACTACAGACACGCTGACTTATAGTACTGTCGGAAATAGAAAAAAAACTGTTTTTAGGCTCTTACTCTGTATCCCTAAGATTTACACAACTGCAAATAGCATATGTCGAAATAACCCACTTCGGCCTAACTTGGCATTCAGTGGGATGCGTAATTGGATATCCAGAAAAGCATGTTTACTCGTAAAACTTAGAAAAAATACGAATAGCTGCTGAAAACAATAGATCAAACTATAGATGGCAATTAGGTCCCTCAGCCAGGTATGACGGCGGACCGTCGACTCGCCTTGGCATGAAATGCATGTGCTGCCTCCAGGCGCCCAAGGGGTCATCTGAAAGATATTTTGTGCTTTTTCATGTGTGTTGACTATGCCTCATCTATTGATTAACAGCTTAAGTGTCTTTCTTTCATAAAGTTTATGTTGAGATATGTAAAAGAGTTTGATACCTGATAACCATAGAAACGCATCGTATTAAATGTCTCAAAATATATAGGTGGCATGACCACCCGATCGCGAAGATCGACAGGACTGGATATTATTTGTAAATTGTTATGACATGCCGTGTACTTCCCCAGTATAATTGCCCTAAAGGATTATCGTATCTTAGCTGATATCTCTATCCCCAAGCCCGACCCCAACGATCGTCTGCGACACCCGTCCAGGTTTTGCTTTTGAGATGAACCCTCCTATCTGTTTCTTTTTATAGTGACAGTGAGACTCCATGGTAGCTACATCCTTAATAGTTTCAGCATGAAAGTTATTATTTTTTACGCCAGCTATCGTTTATAATGAAGCTACGTCTAATTTCAAATTGGTCACTTAAAAAAGTGTCCTTTATAATACAATTTCGTCGCACACTAATTTGCATACAGCCATGGTCTGTTCCAAATAATTCGTTTTGGACTTAGAAAAATATCGCATTGCTCATTCTGCACTAATCTCTCCTCAGTAAAGATCTTTTTCTACGTTTCTTGTGTCCCTACCACTGAGACTGTCGTTAGGCCGGACTTAGTATAAGAGATATTTCACACTTGCACATATCAACTACATAAATTGTAGAGATAAATGAGAAAATACAGTTTTTTTCTATTTCCGACAGTACTATAGTAATTCATCCTTTGTGCCCTGGAGTTAAATGACATATTTTCGCTGTTATGACATACGTTTCATGGTTGTGAAATACTGAAATATCAGTGTTGTACAAATCATAGGGATTGGAAGCCACAATTATAGGTTCAAATTAGGCTCTCACATGATGTGCACTTTGAAAGCTGAGTTGCTTCCATCGGAAGAGATGACATCTATAATCTTCAAAAGAAGTAGGGGAACCTGAACTTTCAATTTGGATAGGAAGGATAAGCGTTATCAAAGTTTTCAAAGACAGACATCTTATGAACGCACCACCATTTCTCTTTATCACCACCCCTGAACACAACGCATTGGATACACGTGCACAACGCAGTAGGCCCATACACGTGCATGGGGTGTCATTCTTGATTTTGACGGTTTTCAAGAAGGTCGATAGATCACTATAGCTAGACCATTAATTTTGACAATCATCTTATATCACACTGTTGTTAGTGTTTGTTTCTAGCTGTGTTTATGTTGTTGTTTGAAAATACAAATCGTACTCATGTAAATTTCACGTCATACATCATCATTTTTCAAGAACGATTACTGTACAAACAACTATGGTCATAAGGAAGTGCAAGTGGTGATGAACTCTCAAAACATTCATTATTATCATGTCACCATTGACTGACTCCGATATATCTCAATCTTTTAATCGTAGATCGTGAATCTTTAAAAATGAAGTTCCCCTACTTTCTGTAAGAGTATACTGGAATAAGGGAGAATAAGAGTATTATTATAGAAGGCATGGAGGCACTTTTTCAGTATTATGGTGTTTTTCCCAACGATACTGCCTCGTGAGTTGTCTTATGTATGTGGATGTGAAAAGGGTTTTGTCGCTTCTATTAAACTGGATGTAATCAGATGATTTGAGATTAAATATGAGTATGAATGAAACATAAATATATACGGAAATACAAAAACAGAGGCTCAGATGTTTAAATGGACAATCTGTCGTCTTAAAGTCGATCTTCCTACCCATGCTAACACTTATAGTAATAATAAGTGAGTTCAAATTTTACATCTCATCGGCAATATTACAGCCATATAGCGATGGCTACAAGTTAGTTATAATTGAAAACTAGTCTGCAAAGGACAACAAAACAGGAATGTTTCACATTTTACTTTTCACACATATAGTTTTCCGCCAAATTATTTATGGTTCACTAAAATAAGGTTACAGACTACAGTACTAAAGTAAGAACACCTTAACGGGGATCATGGGTACTACTGCTTCCTGTATGTGGTTGTATGAAATGAAGTCTATAAAAAACACCGAAATGCTATCTACGAATTAAATTAACACACTGGTCGTGTTATATAATAATGAAATAATTATTAATATAAGCATGCTCTGTATGCAGACCTCGCCTTTGAAATGTCTCGCTTGCATCCCAAGTACATTGTCGTCAGACTCCCCAGTGTTCTCGGTGCCATTGGTTTGGTACCTCCTGATCTTTTGGCACAGATCAGGAGAGTGTCCGGGTTCTCCACTGGGAGCACAGCCCTTCTGACAGTCTGGGTAATGCAGAAGGCTGCAGTGTTGGGGAGTCTACATATTCTCCGGAAAGTTCTTGGTGGTTCGAGTACAGGACCTTTTTAATAAAGTTAATAATCATTTAATCATTGATTTTTTAAAAGAGATAGACATGAATTTTGATATATGTTTTGTAAATAGATAAAGTTTAATAATTGGTAGTTCAGATTATCAAGTAGCGTTTGAAGTAGAGTAAAATTATTGTCCTCCTGAGAGGGTACGTAAGTCCCAAAAACGTTCAAAGTAAAATTTTCACGTACCAAGTTTTTAAACGTAGTTTTTTTGTTCTTTTAAATTTCGGCGAAATTGTCCTACAGTCGCCAGCGGCTGAAGGGGTGGTATAAATCCAGCTAGGCTCCATGCAGGTAGCAAAAGTAATGTAAGTCCCCATGGTTCCTTGTATGGTGATCTACATTCAGATGCTGGTGATCTGTAGCCTGTGTTTTACATTGTCTTGTCTTCTTTAATTACACTGTTTTAGTTTTAGATGCTAGTTTTATGTTCATATCTGTGATACTCTAGAATTTTTACTCTCCATCGTTGACAGGTTTAACTCTTCACAATGTTTTCATTTTTGTATTGTATAAATTGTTTTCATCTCGATATGGCTGAGATAATGCCGATGTGACGTTAAATATTAACTTATTCAATCACTTGGTGGTTCGACTAGGCAGCGTTTCCTGGGAGAAGTCCCATTCGCTGTCTGGGCTGTATGTAGAGAGGGCAAGGGCCCTGAGCTGATGATGAACCTTACCAGCCTGACTGTGCCAGGATCACCCGAACACTCTCTGCTGCATATTACCTTTAAAGAATGATCCTAAACAGTAATGCAGAATTTATTAGATATATATTGAATATGCCACGTTCCACATAAACCTGAAGGTAGTGCCAAGGGTAACACATAGTAAGGAGATGTCCAATAAGATTTAAGTTAACATAGAGGTGAGGTGAGGTGAGGTGAAATTGGGTTTAACCTTGTGCTTAAGAATATTTCGCTCATATGACGACGTTCATGCGTGTGTATGTGTAGGTGCGGCTGCTT